AGTCGGGAACCTGAAGTAGGGACCAAGGAATCAGTGAGTGCTGCCTCTTTGAGAGAGTGGAAAGACTCATTTGGACTTGACACCCCTCCATCTTTGTGTTCACACCCTTGAGTGCACATCTGTGCCATGACTCACAAAATCACAACATTAGATCCACCCCGAGAGTCATGCATTAATCCAGGAGGAAAACTGGAGAGGTATTTTGTATTCAATCACACTGTCGTTGCCAAGTCTTTACTTAATTCCTTAGTACAAACCCACTATGAAGCCACTTCTGTCCTTCAGGGAGAAAGAATGTACATAAAGAAGCAAGGAATTTGGGAACATGTAGAGAGTGATTTGAAAGACACAACCCACCAAACCTCCATAAGGGAAAAGATATGTACGGGGCTACCTACGTTCACTCGTCTTTCAATCTCTAATGAACAAGTAGCAGGTACAATAATAACAGTCCGTTGTGATCCCTGTAGCCTGTGTCATACTCTTTCTTTCAGTGAACACCCCACGATAATCTCCTAATGTGCTGTCACTTTCCAATCTGCCTGCTCCTTCCTAACTCAGAAAAAAGTGCGGAAATATGCATCCCAAACTTATTGGTCTCAGAGAAGATCCTCTCAGCTTTCGACCATGACATAGAAGCTATGTTCTCCTGGGTGCCTGGATATTCTAGGGGAAAAATGAGAGAGGAGGAAGTCCATACCAAAGCAATGGTGCGTACTGTGCATCTCAGCAACTCTCAACAGATGGGAAATTTGTCATAGTGAATGGAAGACGATGACCTTTGGAGTCAAGCAGACCAAGGTGCGAATCTCAGCTCCATCACTTACTGCCTAACTTACCTAAACCCACCTCAGCCTGTTTCTTAATGGGCTGAAGTGGGATCTTGACACTCACTTTTCAAGTTTCTTGGTAAATAAATATTTAGAGCATAAAATAAAGCAGACCGTCAGTAAATCAAAATCGATGGTGGGAGTGATGACAAAATAGAGTATCTTCTCTTCTGTATCACTTAATTCCACATTATGCTTGCAGGGGCAATTGAACTTCAAGTTGTTAAGTAACATGTCAAGGTGACACATATAATTGATGGAAGTGAGATGGGCACTCAGGTGTTCTTTTCATTATATTGTGCAAGAGAAGAACATCCAGATGGGAAAATAACTTTCTTTGAACTCAGTAACTCTGAGCAAATGAACACCTTACACAAACAGTCAACTCTGAATGTCATCAAAGAATGTCAAAAAAAAAAAAAACCACACACACACACAAAAAACGTAGCTCTGGATGAAAATAATCCTTTTGACAAGAGATGGTGATATGGTAGGGGCACAGGCTAGAGAGACACAAAGACTTGAATCCAAATGCAGACTCCACTCTAAGCTGTCTCTTCCATGACATGGAAACAATAACTGCCTCCTTAAGTTTTAATCTGTCAGTTAAAAAGGACACAGGCTGCAACACTGGGCCTGGTACAGAGACTGTTCACAACAAATATTACCTGTCTTAACCTCATCCCTTTCCTTCTGTCTCCAGGGAAAGTTCAATGCCAACCTCTTCAAGTAGAGGTGAAATTTCTACTCTGGAAAATATTCTCTCTCTATTTCTGGTTGGATATTGATGACTGGCAGTTAATGGTTGTGTTAGCTAGCTTTTGGTGCATAACAAACCACTCCCCGATTTAGTGACTTTGAACAACAACCAGTGCTTGCCCTCACAATTCTGCAGCTCAACAATTTCAGCTGGGCTCAGTCGAATGGTCCTTCTGCTGTTCTCAGAAGGCCTACTTATGCATCTGTGGACAGTGCCCTGTCAGCTAGGTGGCTCAGCTGGGGGTGCCTCCTGCTGTGGACAAACCAGGTGGTGGAATGCTAGTGTCTCAGAAATGATTTTGACTCTTCTTCTAGAGAAAATGTCACAACTATCTGACTCTATGATTCTAATAGGTGTATGATAAAATTCTTTCATGAAATTCTGAGGACAAAAAATAATTTGAAATTTTCCTTGGTTTTGTACTAAACCTATAAGTTGTGGATCTCGTTCTGCAGTAATACGGTATGTATGTCTTTGCCAGAGGAAACCCAGCTTGGAACCTCTTTCCATATTACACTGCTGCAATTCCTCTCCCTTCCAATGAACATGCCCCCAGCAGAGGCATATTGATAGGCATAAACGGATGTAAAAGTGATGGAATGAACTAGAAACTGGCCCCTCTGGTGAGACAAGCAGATAGTACCTGGTATTGTGAAGTAGCCTTGTGATGTGGCTGGGGTCTGGTGTGAGCACCCCTCCACTCAGACAGCAGCCCGATCTCCCACCTTAGCTCCTTCTCATCTAGTCAAATCATTGTTGAAATCTGAATACAAGCTTCTCATTTTCTACTGCAATGCCTTAACCATATTTTTGGGATCCAATGGTATAATTTATTTTGGGGTGGTTGACATTGCTACCGTGAATGTCATTTCCCCGTTCTAACTTTAAAAAATATTTTTATTGATTTTTAGAGAAAGAGGGAGGGAGAGGGAGAGAAAGAAACATTGATGCCAGAGCGAAGCATCCATAGGCTGCCTCCTGCACACCCACGACCAGGATCCAGCCTCCAACCCTGGCATATGCCTTGACCACAGTCGAACCTTGCAACCTTTCAGTGCACAGGACGACGCTCAACCAATTGAGCCACATAGGCCAGGGCTCCCCATTCTACGTTACACGTGATTATGGCTGACACACGTGAAAGCTCTCAGTATTTTAAGTATTGTAATTTCATTCTGCCATTTAAAGGGATTTATATTTACACTGTTTCTGAGGTGTTCCACAAGAATATACACACATCATCTGCAAATAAGGACGAGTTTGTCTACCAAAATGACAGACTTTTTTCTCTTGACAATCTCATTACACTAGAACAAAAACCAAAAACACCTAAAACAATGTAAATGATATTGGTGATGATATTTGCCTACATCCTGATTGTAATATACTTTTTTCCAGCGGTTTAACATCCCTTGTGCATTTGTGAGTATGCGCACACTGAGGAATACAGCCTGCTAAAATGTATTTTCCTCACTTGTTTTTAATCATGGAGTGTTCCATTCCTTCCTATGTTCTTGATCACGTACAGATCACTAAAATAGGGTCAGTAGCAGTAGTGTCTTTTTTGGCTGAAGTTATTCTCTTTATGTCTCCAGTTAATCATTGTCGTCATATATGACCCATACATCTTTATCATATTATATTCTAGATATTGCAGGTGTCTGTTGCTGCTGGGAACAGGATCCTTTTTATGTGTTATTCTGGGTATCAATGGGGTGGAGCAGACCCTGGGAAGCTGAACTAACTTGTTATTTTAAAATTGAACTCTATGTTTGTTTGTTTTTAATCTCCACCCAAGGATAGTGTTCTATTTATCTTCGGATAGAGTGGGAAGCAGAGAGAGGGAGAGAAAGGGAGAGAGAGAAAGAGAAACATTGACGTGAGAGGGACACATCCACTGGTTGCCTTCAGCACAACCCTGACCAGGGCTGGGGAGGAACCACAACGCGGGTGGGGTACGCGCCCTTGGCCAGAATCGAACCCCCCCCCACACTGGTCCAGGGGCCCACACTCTGTCGCTGAGCCAAACCGGTCATGACGATCTGGATGCTTCTTAACTACTTTCCACTTACATCTCAGTCCATGTCCACTTGTTGAAAGAATTATTTCATTGGAGTGAGTTCTGGGTGATCCTGCTTGTCTGATGCCAGCAGAGTGCCTGTTGGTAAGAGAGAGACAAAGATGCATTAAGTTGCAATATGGCCAAAGCTGAGGGACATCAGAGGCTTCTCCATAAGGCTACAACTATGGTTAGAGTGGGAAAACAACACAAACATTTAAAAGGTGAGGGAAACCTTTAGGTTGTTGAATTTTTGCCTGGGGTGGGGCCACTGCTTGGCCTCGAGACAGGATGACCAAACAGAGAGGTGCGAGAGCACCAAGTGGCTTTGCTGCGTGCAGTCCCACGCCAGGAGGCTTCTAAAAACCAAAGTGAAGACTATGAAGGCATTTCCACAGGCATGCTTTCCTAAACCCCAACCAGTACTTAACAACGAGAGAGTGAGAAGGGTGGCGTGTGTGGAGGGTGAAGATTCTTGGGATTTAATAAAACACTATTTGGGGTGGTCCTCCAGCTGTTGGGAGAATATGATCCCAATGCAACAGAAGAGGGGCTTTCTGAGGAATGGTGGTGGTGGTGGTGGTGGGGGGGGGGGGTGGTTAGATGTCCATAGGGTTGAAGAAAAGCGTCAAGTTATGGGCTGTGTCTAGATGTCCGGCAGGCAAGGTGAAGAACCTGTTGAAGAAATAAAACTGTGTGATATGACTCAGCAAAGATTAGGTGAGACTTTGATCCAAGAATACCGAGATCCTTTTGACAAACCCGAGCCTTGATATAAATAAGCCAGTACCATTCACGATGGGCGATGTGGAAGGTGCACTGGATCCTATTGTGGGGAGAAGGATGGACTGTGTTTCTTAACCTGGTGGGCGGTGAGGAGAAACGTCCCGTGGCGCCACCGCCACGGTCAGCTCCCAGGTACACGTGGAAACAGCGCTAGCCCAGGTCACAAAGCGGTGAATTGAACTCCGCGTGAAGGAGATTCCCAGCCGGAGAGGTGCGGGGCGCCTGCGCAGTGGGCCCCAGGCACTGCGCTGCGGGAGTCGGGAGACCCCCACCCCGCCCCTCGCCCTCCGGCGGGAACGCGCACGTGGAAAGGGACGCGAACGCGCACGCGAAGGCACCCCAAGTCCTTCTGCCCTGCCGGGGCGGCTGAGGAGGGGGCGACTGGCGCAGGAGCCGCGGGGGGGCTGCGTGCCACAGCGCCTCCTCCACCCAGGCGTGTGCGCTCGGGACCCCGGCCGGCCGCGGAGAGGCGGACTAACTGACGTCCTCGCCGTTCCCGCCCCCTCCTCGTCCAGCCCCGCCCCCGCCTCATCTTGTCTGAGGCTTGAGCTCCCTGGCTGAGGCGCCTCACTCTCCCGCCCCTCGCAGCGGCCCGTTCTCTCCACCGCACCTCACCCGGCGGCGGCGGCAGCGGCAGCGGCAGCGGCAGCGGCAGCAGCAGCAGCGGCAGCGGCGGCGACCCGAGCAGCAGTGAGCGCGGGAGCAGGCGGCCTGGAGGATGAAGTGCAAGCCGAACCAGACGCGGACCTACGACCCGGAGGGCTTCAAGAGGCGGGCGGCGTGCCTGTGCTTCCGGAGCGAGCGCGAGGACGAGGTGCTGTTAGTGAGTAGCAGCCGGTACCCGGACCGCTGGATCGTGCCGGGCGGGGGCATGGAGCCCGAGGAGGAGCCGAGCGGCGCGGCCGTCCGAGAGGTGTACGAGGAGGCGGGAGTCAAGGGGAAGTTAGGCCGGCTCCTGGGCGTCTTCGAGCAGAACCAAGATCGCAAGCACAGGACCTACGTGTTCGTCCTGACTGTCACTGAGGTTCTGGAGGATTGGGAAGATTCGGTGAGCATTGGGAGGAAGCGAGAGTGGTTCAAAATCGAAGATGCCATCAAGGTCCTCCAGTGCCACAAGCCCGTGCATGCCGAATACCTGGAGAAACTAAAGCTGGGCGGTTCCCCCACCAATGGAAACTCCGTGGCCAGGTCCGTGCCCAGGAGCGACCCCTAGTATGTACCGCTCCTGCACAGAGCCCTCTGCTTTCCGCTTGCCCTAGAGCACCTAGTGCCCGCGCACCTCCCGTGCCCTGTGCGGGCTCCCCGGGGGAGGGGGCTCCTTTTGTTTCCTTGGCAGACCTCGCAGTCACGCTTGCAGACTGTCTCACTTGCCAGCCACTGTTTTCCGACAAGTTGCACGTTTTTCAGATACTTTGAGAATCGCTTCTTGCTGGCGCTGTTTAACATCCTTCACGTGGGTTTTCTTTAAAGGTGCCTTCACTGCTCACCCAGCCCTCGGGGTGTGTGCGTGTGCGTGTGCGTGTGCGTTCGCGCGCGTGTGTGCATTTTTGGCACCAGTCTTGTGGTTTTGTAGCGAACGCATTTAAAATCTGGTCACCTGGTTGTCTGGCACCTTGCATTAATTTTCTTTCTAAAGTTGTCTCCTCGTTCACAGTATTCGCCCTTGTCAGCAAGCCCTTCTGTGGTGGGAATTGGTTTAAATGATCCGTTTTGAATTTTTAAGAATGATTGAAGAAATTGGACCCCTTGCGCTCTTGCCGCACCCCACAATAATTTTATCTTCTGAATGTGTTCTGATTTGCCCTTCTCAGAAATTTCTTGACTCATATGTACATAATTTGATTGCAAACATTGTTCACAACTGGTAAGTTTTGACTGCTTACTTGAAATGGCCATTCCTGCCCTGGCCGGTTTGGCACAGCGGTTAGCGTGTAGGCCCTCAGACCAGAGAGTGCCAGGTTGGGTTCCTGCTAAGGGCAAGTACCTCAGTTGCAGTTGGTCCTTGGCCCCCATTGGGGTCCTGTGGGGGGCAGCCAGTTGATGTGTCTCTCTCATGTCCATGTTTCTCTCTCTCTCTTCCTCCCTCTCTCCCTCCCACTCTATCTGAAGATAAATGCAAAAGTGTTCTCGGGTGAGGATAACAAAAACCCATCAAACAAACAGAAAACAAATGGCCATTCCCTGTGGACCCCAAAGGTAGTTTAACAAAATATTACTATAGAGTAGATATTTCTCAGGACGATATTGTTGGCCAAACACATCCATATATCTTATTGGGAAAAGTCTCTTCATAGAGGATGATGTAGCATGTTCCACTTCCAACACCCATTGCCCCTGTCTCAATACCCTTAGAACAACCATGGTTTTCTCAACATAAACTCGTTTTTGAAAGAAAATTATTTCACATGTTTAAATTTAGCAACATTCCAGTTAAACTTCCTGACTACCAGTAAATACAGGGTTGGGATCTGGATGATGATAACATCCCAAATGAGTGTGGAACCTTTCTTGATACTCTGCTGTTATAGACTGTCAAAGTATTGGGACACTAGAACAATCTCTCCTAAAGATTTAGAGTAAATGTTTTGTCTCACGCAACAATCTTTTTGGGGTAATGAATTAAAAACTCTTACAGTTGCCTCCATCCTTGCTTGTCATCAGGAATCCCAACTGAAATCCTTAGGTCTCTTCTGGAACTACCTTTAATTCTCCTAGGCATGTCTTCTGATAAAATGTTAATACTGTAGTTAGTAGATTTTAAATATTTATGGAAAAAGCACTATAAGAAGTGGAAAAGTCAGTCAAGTAAAACATGACATTTTCATGAGAGAGAGCTTGATGTGATAGAAACTACAGAGGGACTTTGAAGTCAGACAGACCTAGGGATGAAAATGGTTCCAGTTCTTGCTCACTCTGTTAGTTCAGTCGTTATCTAATTATGTGATGCTCAGTTTTTTTAAATATAAAATTGGAGATAACATAAAAAAGATAAACCTCTAAGAGAAGCCTTTCCTGATCACCTAGTTTAAGATACTCTCTTTAGTGTGTGTCATGGTTCTCACAATTTTCACAATTTTGTTTTAATCCTTACATGAGGATATGTTTTTATAGGTTTTGTTTTTTTTTTGTTTGTTTGTTTGTTTTTGAGAAAGAGAGAGTAACATCAAAGTTAGAGAGAACATGGATCGGATCGGCTGTCTCCCGATCCTGCCCCAACTGAGTATCAAACCTACATCCTTTTTTTTTTTTTTTGGTGTGTGGAACGACGCTCCAACCAAATGATTCACCCGGCCAGGGCCTGTTTTTCACAATTTATTGTACTTACCTATTTACATGGCTGCGTGGCCACTAGAACACAAACTCTTTGATGGGTAGTATCCATAAGCTTGAATTATTTCCATAACCTTAGAGTCTAGAACACGGAGTTCAGTAGTTTTTGTCTGAGATGACTGCCCCTCTTTTGCAATACTAGTATCGCTTCTTTCCTGACTTTTTTTGTTTCTTAATGCATAATGACCTGTAACTCCCTCAGTTGCTTATCCACAATCACATTTCATCTCCATTAGGTAACTCTTTGAAGGCTTTCTAAATGTGAAGCAAGTGATGTGGATAATAGGCCCTTTGTAAATTTGTTCTTTGGAGAAATTGTTAAATTAGTATAAGCCTGTTAATCATATGTTGGTTTGTTTTTCCAGATAAACAGCAAAATCTTCATGTTTGCTTTGAAGAAATTGTTAATGTGAACCATCGATCAATGGAATTGTCAAGTGCAGGTAACCACTTCCATGTTTCCAAGGAGACAGCTCATCTGGGTTTCCTCCTACATCTTGGAACAGCCCTTCTCTGTCTATTCTACTGACTCCTCTTGCCTTGGTTATTGTACTGTGTATGTGAGCAGACTCTTAATTCAGCACCTATAGCCTTTTGTTGTGCTTTTTTTGATGTTCCTGCACCTCCATTAGATTATGATATCCTTGAGAGCAAGGACCACGTTTTCTTACTCTGCATATTTTGCATCTGAGACACTACTTGAAATATGGTTGATATCACTGAAGGTTCTTTGATATAATTTATATTTGTCATCACTGTGTGGCAAATTTCTTTCCCGTCTACTCTGGTGCTTATAGAGTATATATGCTGGCTAGGCACCGTGTGTGTGGCTTTTCTGCATCAGGTGTTTCCGAAACTTTTCAAGGCAGTTGTAAGATGTTGAAGGACAAGAATTATTACTCATATTTCTATGTCATATCACACAGTGGCTGGCACACTTTTAAGATTATCCCATCACTTAAGGCAACATTTTGTAGAATCAGTCCTTTGTGTAATAACTTCAGTGTTTTTGTACTGTTGCTAATTTGCTTAAAATTTTATTCAGAAAATAATTTGTTATAAAACTAACTGTAAAAGTAAACACAATGAACACAACCTAATATTGTAAGCTTTTATAAAAAAAATTTTAAATGATATACAAATAATAAATTTGATGTTTTTGCAATGTTTTAACCACTTCTTTCAGGTAATCTTAACATCTCTTTGAAGAAAATGTTTTTCTCAATTTAAAGATTCAGTATACTGTATTAATTTGACGCCAGAGCCAACAAAGACTGCAGTATAGGCAGATTCCAAAGTTAATTATGTCTCTTAGTTTGCCTAGGTTTCTTTTGTATCTCATGCTGATTCGGTTGGCCATAGTTTTTATCTCCTTTTCCAATACACACTGCTAGCTCTTCATCCCACCTGGTTTCTGCATATGAGAATGCAGAGGACTGAGAGACAGATAAAATTGTTGTCATTTGGAAAAGGCATTGAGAGGGAAAAAAAGACAAAACTGTGAGTAGGGAACAGAAAATGAAGGATTTAGAAAGAGAGGACATGGGTCAGCTGCTTCCAGGAGAGCAACTTTAAGAAAATGACAAAGATGTTTAAAGGAAATGTCATGAACCTTTGCCATGGGGTTTATGATATCAGCACTCTTCCCCAGCTTCCTTCAAAGGCCCCAGAGTGATTTTTTTTTTTCATTTTAAAGCATTTACATGGGAAAAAACTTGGGCTTCATTTTAGTGTTACACACTTACTCATGGTACCAGTAAAATATACTGATTGTTCCTCCAAGATCTCACAGAATTTTACATAAAAACACCTCCCCAATTTATGGGGGGGGGGTGTAGGTGTAAAATCGTACTGCAGTTATGTTTTTTTTTAATCCTTACCTTTTAGAAAAATGTACTGTAAATTTTACAGATAAAATGAGATACTACTACTGGTGTGTTTGATTCAAAATAATCTGAGGGTGGGGATAGGTGAGTGTGTAGATGAAACAAAATTGGCCATAAACTGATAATTGTTGAAGCTGTTTGATAGATGTTTGGGAGTTCATTACACTATTCTCTCTACTTTTGTATATGTTTGAAAATTTCCATAATAAAATTGAAAAAAAAAAACTTTCTTCAGTGTTTACTTGCAAGCCCCCTCTATCCCTAAAACATAAGTGGGAAAGGATGGTCAAATGATAAATCCACAGCCAAGACAAACTACTCCCCTTCCAAAACCTAGGTTTTGTTTCTGAGCTAAACATATTTGCAGACTTGCTCTTCACTTAGTGTGATTTTTTTTTCCCCTCAGAGGTCTCTAATTTCCAAATGCAAAAAGACTTTTAGCCCTATCAGTATGCTACAGATGACCAGAAAACTTTGAACCCCAGTGGTGGACATAACCTTAGGTTACAGATGAGACAACACTCCTCATTCTACAATTTATTTTTAAAATAACATTGAATTTTTTCCTTATTACAAACTTAGTTAATCCCAACTAAAGTAAATTTTGAAAATTTCCCCCAAAATAAATTAAAAATAACATGTGATCCCCCTACGCAGAATAACCAGGTTTGAAAATTAAAATATATGTGTATGTGTGTAGTCCCACGTTTTTTCTTTTTCAAATGTAAATATGTGTACCAAAATATGACTGGCACAAATGAGTCCTCAGAATTTTTTAGGTTACTGCTGAGGGCCATTACAGAATTTGTGCTATGTCTGTTCTGCACAAGGGCAGCAGGTATGAAGCAGGGCAGAACTGGCCTGTTTTTTTTTCCCCTAATTCCCACACAAACTTTCTACTTACCAAGCACTGAGGCCCATGGGGTGTGTGTATGGAATTAATTCAGAGGAGTGCCGCTTTAATAAATCACATGATTTCATTATATTGGCTAAAAGTA